ATTGATCCCTACAAAAAACATATCATTCGTTTTTCGCTGTCGAACTTAGGTTTATAAAGACAATTTACAAGTCATCTGTGTCGCAGGAATATCGCGTGGAATATCGTCGACTTTCTTATAACTGAGCTCATGGTATGAGACTGCATCATACGTAAGTACATTGAGTTGTACCGATTGTCTAGACAGATGAAGAAAAAAAAGAAGAACCAATGATGTACACATTCAGTCGATCCCATGACTTACGTCGGATCACTGAAGTGCACAAGAGTACCGAGTGAATAGGCGCCGGAACCAAATTGTGTCAGTCGTCGATTGATCGATCCTCGAAGGTTAAAATGCATGAAGAAGTTTTGTTTTAGATCTAACATTCAAGTATAACATTACGGAGAGCATTGAAAACTGAACAAAACTACATAGTCTTTTTTCGAAATAATTTTCCTCGACAGGAGCTGTAAACACATTTATAAGTTTTTCCATTTCTCTATGTTCATAACTTAATAAGGTTCAACTCTATAATGTGATTTGGAAATTTGAAATAAGTTAGTTTGACCCGATCAAACTGAAGGATATTACGAAAGAATTAAATCTGATGAAGTTCGACGATAGCCAAAAATTGGGGATTATCCATACATATTTGGTTGACGATGCAAGATGATACAAGAAAATGTTTCATCAATAACATGAGAACATTAGAGACATGGTCAAAATTCAATGATGCAATTAAGAAAATGTACTCATCGATGTTTGCAAAAGAAGTAGCCATTAGCCAACGTAACGTCATCAAAGCGTAGATGAGATTTTCATGCACTATTATAACAACATGGTGGAATTATTTGATGCTACGGACAATCAAATGAGCGACTCGCTGAAGGTCAGCAATACAAAAAGTGGACTAAAATTGTCATTGAAGAAGGAAGTGTCAAGGAAAAATCCGCAAACACCATCCGAGTTCATCAAAGCGGCTCAAGAAGAAGAAAGCCTTGATTATCCTATGGTCGCATCAATACACAGCATGGAAATACAAAGCAGTGAGACAAAAAGAATACCAGCCACGACAGTGATAAATTCACCACTAATACACTAAAACTATTGTTATACGTCCCTATCCGCAGCGTCAAGTTCAAAACGATGGCGAAAATTATTGACGACGACATCATCGATCAAACAACATCGACCATATCAATATCAACAACAACAACTATGCTACAGATGCAATAAGAACGATCATTTTGCTCGTAAGTGTTGGAATTCAAAAAACAAATAATGAAGTCACATGGTGGTAGTGTCTCCAAACAAAGTCAGTATCCACCAGAATTACGCTTCATCAAAACAGTGGTTCAAGGAAATAGCATTCGAGCGATGGTGAATTCAGGCGCTACAATATCATTGATTAAACTATCAACATTGAAACAAGTGAATTACCATCATGACATACGAGGAACGGTGGGAGATATTACATTGGGTGATGGCAAAACAACTCTGTAGCAATATGGTTCAGTGGACTTGTGTGTGAAAGTTAATGACATGGAAACGAAGGTTAAGGCAATAGTAGTAGACGAGTTGGTGGCCGACTTCATTCTCGGACTGGATTGGATCAAATGCTAAGACGTGCATATAATTCCAGGTAGAAAACAACTAAAAATCCATCATCGGCGACAACAAATGACGATTGGGTTTGTGGAAGATACAGAAATAGATGTCAAACTGGTCCAACGGTATGATATTTTACCTGATGTGAAGTATACTGCACAAGTTTTCTAAATGCAAGTCAACTGTATTTTCTAGCTCTGCAGCATCATATTCAACAACAGAAAGGCATAACAGTAGAAGATCGACTGGTGCACATAATGACTAAGGTGCATATGCGGCATTTTCCTTGTAGAAAAATGCGACCTAAAATTACGGCTTTTCTCGCCATTTTGCATTCTCAAACGCGAGAAAAGGTCATTTTGCATTCTGCAATGCAGAAAATGGTCATTTAGTATTCTGTAATGCACCAAAACGGCATTTAGCATTCAGCCAATATAGAAACTCAATTAGAAAATCTATGTTTTTCTCAACTTTTAGAATATGTTCAGATGGTGGATGCAATCAGAACCGATTTTCGACGAATCTCTGTAAATATACGGACAACTGTCTGAATGCGAATGGAATCTAGATTTATATCGTCACTTTTAAATTACATTTTCAAAAAGCAAAATTTCTCCGGTTTATAGTTTGGATCGGTTTATTGTTTGTCTTTCCACCTTCAACATTTCAGTGGGCCGATGACTCTTTCTTTTGTCACCAGAAGTAAAGAAAAACCTCTTCTGTCTCGTTCATGATAGATATTTGTACAATATGAGTAACACACAAATAATGTTCGTCGCATGATGATTCTCTCGGCCAAAGACTGACAGAGTACAAAACATAATCATGAGGTATGTTCATAGCGATTGATTGTACATATCATCTTCTGATATTTGTCACATGGTTCATTTAAGGGTAACCCCTCTTTTTTTCGCTCGCATTTTGGTCAGCAGAGAACTCAGGTTCTGTCAATCTGATCTGATTATAACCTTCCTTTAAGTTTGTCCAATTAGGCTGAAACTTTTTCCAGGTCAAATATAGACGATTTTTTTCTTTCAGAATCGAAACCTCACAATTGAATGTTTCATACCTGTTTTCGTCTGTTCTTTTGCCTCACTTTTCGATTTGTCAATTTGGACTTTGGTCACATGACCAGCGACACTTGTTTTGTCTTCCTTTTGAGCACCTGAAAAACAACAAAGACATCTATATCAGTTTCTCGTCTATCATTTCACTCTGGTTTTACTCGCTTTCAGGTCTCTGATCGATTTTAAGACATGAGTGTCGTTATTTGAGAATAGTTGCCAATGATTTTCACCCTCGAGAAAAGAGATGTTAAATCAAATCCGGTCGGCTCCATTTTCGCATCTATGAAACATTTTCAAGTTTTGATTCAATGAAAGAACTTCTCGAAAAACGTCTCTGTCCGATTTCTGTGGTCAGGAAAGTTTGTTTTTCATTTCAAAAAAGGCTTTTCAATTTGTCAACCGGAAGCAGAAAGATTTTCATCTTCTGCCACTCACTGTTGTGTATATGTGTTGCGAAGAAACGAACTACTCGCTCCTCAGTTTTCGATCGCTCTTGAAACTCTTGTCTAGTAGTTGTTTAACTGAAAATTTGTTTGAAGTTTTCGAAAGCAAAACATGGTGCGGTTATCTTGTTCGAGATCTTTGTCTTAAAGTCACACACACACGGTATTGCCTGTGGTCTTCTTACCAGTAGATGTTTTATTCGCCAGAGAGGTGAGAGTCACTGGTTGCAGAAGTAGAATAGGAGACTGGATCTCTTTGAGTTGAATCATGTGAAGATCAGGTGCCGGTTGTAAACATGCGACAACTTTGAACTGTCGAGCAGCAAGGAGAAGAATTTCTTCCTCGGATTGGTAATAAGAATGCCGACAGATATCTTTGCCCGAATCACAATCGATGGTGAACATTGTCCTCACGCCTGTTGTGCCCAAAAACTGTTTATTCTCGAGCACCTGAATGCTTGATGTGCATGACGAGAAGCCCCACCAAACGAAGGTTTTTCCTGCTGGATATTGTTTGCTTAAGTCTATTTTCACTCCTCGATAGACGAAATGACGCGTGGATGGGAGTCGAGCGAGAGCAGTGAGGAGAAGTTTGAAGTACAGAAACCACGGTTTCAGTTGTCCTCGATCTTCAGCACGGAGAGTTGCATTGAGGACGTAATAAAGACATTGCTCTTGTGGTTCCCATTCCATTGAGTAGAGAATAATAGACGCTGATTCATCTTGTGACAGGCCATCGGCAGGATCTTCTTCGCATCTTTGTTTGGCCACATAGACATAATCTTGAACTCCGGGTAAAATCGAGACAAGTGGCTTGACGGCTTCTTCGAGTGATACCAAAGGCTTTTCATCATAGCCCCGAATGGGCATCAACATCCTGTGCGGTTCATCAGCTATGTCAGAGACTCGTGCATTTCGCTGTACAGCTACGCCACCTGCGGCCATGTAGAACACTGCGATATCTTAAATCAATCTTGTCGAATCAAATTTCTGAAAAGACAGAGAAGCAATGATTTCATCGCCATAAACTCGATTTATGATAATTATGGCTTTGTTTGGACTAATTTTGTTGAAATTGTAGACTAATTATACTCGAAACTGAGTAATTTTGCTCTACTCGGCGTTGCTGCACTCACAAGCTACGCGTTTGCACATAGAACGACGCAAGACAAGAAAATGAGCAAAAAAGCGCTCCTACCGAATGAAGGTGGCCTTTTTTAAATTGTTTTTTGCGTTGTATTGGTGAGTCATCAATGTGATGTACTTTCCCTACAACCGGTAAATATTGATATGAAATCCTTGGCCGTAATGTGTGCATCACTCCTTCTCGTCACACTCCAACGGCTTCTTTTAATGACTGTCTCATTAGAAAAAAAACTATGTTTTTTATTGCTCTTTACCAAAGAGGTTTCATCTCCGGGTAGTAGATAAGGCAGATATTGCGGAGCTATAGGAGAAAAGGAACAGAAAGTTTGAATTTTACGAAGAAGAAAATACTTCCAAAATTTCACAAAGACCAAATTTGTGACTGTGTACAGCACGAAGATCATTCAATTAAAAAACCAACTGGATCGCGCATAAAGAAAACGAGAAAAATAAAAAAATATTGTGGATCTTGAGTTATTGTTTTTGCGTTGCCCGTTAGAAAATGCGATTTTCTGCGTGTCTTTACTAAGCATCTTATTATTTAACCTGTTAACTGCTACAAAATCGTATGTATGTATCTATATATGAGGAGCTAGAGAATTTGACGACCGTTCTTTCGAGATAAAAGGCAGCCCTAGGGTTTATAATAATAAGTCTATTTTCTAAAACCTTTAGGAAGAGTTATGATCAATTTACTGACGAGGAGTAGAGTCCAAAGTGGTTAATAGCTAATTATCTCAAAATTCTACCAGTACTCTCAATTTCATTCATCATGACTAATGTCTTATACAATAAAAATGTCATATTCGGGTCCAGAGTCGCAAACTGAATCAAATGACATATTTCGAAACTTTTTGTTGACTTTCATTTTTTGCTGAAAGTTTCAGCAATTTTTCAACGGAAAAAATCCAAAAAAGACTCAAAGCAATCAGATAGACTTACAAAGTACACCATTTGACTCAGTTTGTGACGCTGGTCCCGAATATGACATTTTTATTGCATAAAACATTAGTCATGATGAATGAAATTGAGAATACTGGTAGAATTTTGAGATTTGCGCTCTTGATCTAGAAAATATGAACGTTCTCAACAAGAAAGCACGATGAAGAAAAAAAAGCAATATACACTTTTAAAGCTCGTTTAATGGCGGTTCACACGAAGTGCAAAAATGGGCTTCATTTTTTCAAAGAAAAAACTAGTTTGGTTTGCAAAATTATTTCTTAACTTTTTATGGGAGGAGCTCTATATTATATGATTAAAGATGTTAAATATATGAGCTTGTAGCTCATCAAAAACCCTACACAACTGTGTATAAGAAATACTTTTTATGACGTCTTTCGACTTGAAGAGTTCTACAAGATGGTATATATGGTTTCTCAATCCTGAATAGGTCATCTTATCCGACAGGGTCTTTTCATCTGAAAATATCGAGAGCAATTTTTTCGATTGTAGGCTACCGGCACGACAATTGGCAATTTTCACTAACGAAATATTCTCTCTATCGATATGATGTTCAATTCGTATTCTCTATGTTCCCATTGTTTCCCGTCTTATTTCATATATCTCCTGACGGTGGGGATGAGCAAGAGCCGCCATAATCTAGATTTCATCCCGGCTAAGGGAGGATGTGAGGGTAAGTTTATAAGAGAATTGAGAATCCAAGCTACTTACGACACGTTTCGAACTTGCTTAAGGGTTCATCGTCAGGTAAATTCGAAGACTATCACTGCATATCGATTCATTTTAATTATAAATATGTATAAAAGTCAATCGAAATCGACTTCCAGTAACATTTGAGGGCGAGTAAAGCAACCATAATGTTAAGATTTCATCTGCGCAACGAGAATCATCAGATGGTCTCATTTCAATTCAAAAGAGAACCGAAACAAAGCTGATTCTATGCTGTACGAGTACAGCAACCAGTAATGATTACCCGTTCCACTGTTGGTGAGAAACAACAGATCATCCGAAGACTAAATTTCATCATTACATCTGTTCTGCTACTACTGGAAAGTAATAATGTTAGAATATTCAAACGATATTGAAGATGAGTTTATATAGACAGTTGGCATCTCGTAGCTACCGGGCATCTTGATCGTCTTTCTCTTTCTCTCTTCACTTGTTCTTCGTGAACACAAATAACTTGACCAAGGAAAACTAAGCATTAGAAATCATATATATAAATCGATGAGGTAGGGGTCATTATCATAGATATCAACAGATATTGGCAGAGCAGAAAATTTTTTGAGCGGAGCTCTGGAAAAGTAAAACGCTTCTCAAAACACTTAGGCGGTCGGATATCGTCCTCTCGCGGGAGGGCGATATCCCACCGCCTAAGTGTTTTGACTTCATTTAATGGTTGTGTTGTAGTCGTTTGTGCTTGTGAATGTATCTGGCGTTTTGCAAATGTATCGGTAATTATTTTTCTTATGGCTGGATCGGAACGAATAAAAAGTCGATTAAAGACATCTGTCAGATTCATTATATGTCCACATTTCCTTGATAAAAATTCACGAAAGTTGCGAACATCTTTATTATAACTCTCAAGAGCTTCTTCTGATAATTCTCCCAAAGCTATACCATGATTCCCTTCTATTAATTCGCATGAATGGAAAATTAATGAATGAACAGTCATAGTATAATCAATCCATTTTTCATTGGATATTAAATTCTGAAATTCCATGGTTAATTCTTTATATTTTGAAACATTAATGGATTGCGTGGAAGAAACACAAGGGGGAAAAAGCGTACTTCTCGGTACTTCTCCGTACTTCTGAAGTACGGAGAAGTACAAAAAAGTACGAAGAAGTACGAAGTATCAAGAAGTACGGAGAAGTACCAGAAGTACAGAAGTATGCTTTTTCCCCCTTGAAGAAACAGCTCTTAAAATAATAGAATAAAGTTGAATTAATTTTTGAAGTGTTTCACGATGCGGCGATGAAATACAAGACACTAACGAGGAAACCCCACGAAGTGATTAAACGCTTTTTGCTCGGAATCTAGTGGGTTATAGGCTATTGACCATGCGGCTTCCGCATAGCCCTTCGAAGACCTGGTTTTCTAGAAAACGAGTATTTCAGAAAAATAACCCGAACCGTTCTTAATGAGGCATGATTGTAGCCCGCGCATTTCTGATTAAAATGAGACCTCTCCCAACTCTACATGACCTTTCTTTGCAAAGTTATAGAATTTACACGAAGAGCCCTAAATTAATTTCTTCTTATTT